TGTTATGCACAAATAATGAATCATGGAACACTTCATCTCGAACTAATGATGTAATGTATCGGGATTAACATAAGAATAAAAAAAAAAAGAAGAGCCTCAGGGGCTCTTCTGTTCAAAATGTTGTGTACAATTAAATTGGAGTTTAAAAATTAGAATGACTCCTTTTCTTTTAGATTACTCTTCAAAAATGTATTAGAAAATGTAGACAGTCACCAAGAGATAATCACTCTTTAACTACAATTTTGTTTCAGCAATTCTTTCTTGTTTTCCATTCACTGTCCTCAAAATGTATCTAAAAAGGGCAGGCAGAATTCTAATCCTGAGAGTCTGAATGATCTTTCTAGTATTCGGACTGTCTAACTCAAATTCTCATTTTTCCCATAAATTCACTGTGAAGTCGACATGTTGGAATATTTTATTATTTATATTATTTATATTTATATTATTTATATTTTATGCTAGTTTCCTAGGCTTGGAAATGGCCATCTTCCAATGATAATGTCTAAGAAGAACCTCTCTGGTGATGCACCTGTACATTTTTAATGGGGTTTTCTTTATATATTCTCTTTGAATATTGAAGATTTTAGTTATTAGTCTCAATTTGTTTGGTTACCCTGCTATTGGCTATATATATTTTCAATAGCTAGTTACAGACGTTCAAGTCTTTTCATCACCCAAAAAAATTAAATTAGAAACTAGAAAATATTCTCATGTTACATCAGACAATTTGTCTTTAGGTAAAACAGACTGATGAGACTCATCAATCTACAGTTTTCCTAACAACAAGAAAAAAAATTTTAAATAAATAAATAAAAAGAAGAAGAGAGTCCAAAACAAGGATAGGGGTGTGTGTGTGTGTGTGTGTGTGTGTGTGTGTAAGTATATATATAAAATCCCTGGCAATTTTTTCTAATTATTGAGTAATAATAAATTAATTTTAATATTATAAGTCATAGAAACACGCTAGAGCTTTTAAAAAATCCAGTTAACAACAAAAGAAAATAAATTGCACAAAATAATGGAGAAATGAGTATAATGAGGATTATAGTTGGTATTCTCAGAGTAGAAAAATATAAAGCTGATTTGTCTTAAAACTACTATGGAGATTTTCAAAGGTGTTCTCTGGCGATAAAAATGTGAAACAGACAAAGGCAGATTCAGATGTATTGACTTTTATAAATGACTGTCAATACAGACAACTTCAGTTATAGTGAACTTATGCTTGTTACTTGCAGATAAGTAGTCAGCTAAGTGTGGGATTTGATACCAAAGATGTGAAATTTGCATATAATGAAAGCTTTTTTATACTCACTTGCAACAATGCGTCTTCCATCTGCTAGAATCATTTCTCCATTTTCTACTAGAGTTTTTAAAATACAGGTGACATTTGTTGGGGCTTTGTCTGCCTCATCTACCACCAGAACATGACCCAACTTTACTGCTTTAACCTTTAAAGACAGAATATTTATCATAAACAAACAAAATAAATGCAAATGTTTTAAAATTTTTATCACTCATTGCTTTGGGTTTATAATAGTAGCTAGTTTTATTTAAGTTATGGATATACTATCACAAAAAAAGTGTGTAGCAGAGCTGGAAACAAAATTTACAAATCTCCACCAAAAGCTTCACATTGTTACTAAACTGTTAACTCTGCAGTAATCACTTTATTTCCCTTTAGCATCATAATTTTTTTTTTTTTTTTGCCGACTCCCCACTGAGCAGGGAGCCCAATGAGGGACTCAATCCCGGGACTCCAGGATCATGACCTGAGCTGAAGGCAGTCGCTTAACCAACTGAGCCACCCAGGCGCCCTAGCGTCATAATTATTCCTATGTTGGTGATGTCCGCATTTCACACCCCAGAGTAGGGGAGATTTAAAACAAGTGTAACAAATACAGAAATTAAAGTGCCATGGGAGTTAAGAAGATTGAGACATCACAATCAAAAGTGGATATTAGACCACTGCATTTGTTATGGCTCTAAAAGAATGTAGGATTTAAATAGATCAGAATGGATGGTGAGGTGTATTCAAGATAAAGGGAATCAATGGTCAAACTCAAGAAATCCTGGGGCATACTGAGGAAGGAGTGAGTATGAGTAGTCTACCTTCGCTGAAGCAGAGATTAAATGTAAGAAAAGAGAGAACAGGGCCTGAAAGGGTAGATCAGGTCTCTGCTACTAAAAACTTGATTGCCAGACTGAGAAATATGTACTTTATCTCATTAAATAATAAATTCATAAAGATTTATGAGTTCAGGCATGATCGGAATGAAGCTTGGAGCTACACTTTAGGATATTCTATCTGGCAGCAATATGCAAATGGACTAAAAGGGAATTACTCTAATAATTTGGTAAAAAAGTGGGTTGGGGGACCTGATTTTAGAGGAGACACGGAAAAGTGGAAATAAAAGGCATTAAACTGATCTGAAGAGTTTTTTGGAGGTATAATCTATAGTCTTGGCAACTGGTTAGATGGGAAGTAGGGAAAGGAAAAATAGGAAAGAGCCCTAGGTCTTAGGTGTCTGAGTAAATGGTGACATTATGAAGAGAAAGGTAAAACCTAGACTCTTAAAAACATTTTAAGAGGGTAGATAGGGGGAATGTTCAATGAATTTAAATGTAAACCCAAAGCTTAATTTTTTAATAGTAAGAAATTTCTCGTAACATAAACCATATAATAAAATTTTCTCTTTATATAGTTTTGGCAAATAATTTTAAGGAAATACAGATTGAGAAATAGATGACTCCCTCTACCACAAATATTTTATTCATATTCTAAAAAAAAGGCTGGTTAAGGGTTTTTCTTTTTAATTTTAGGGTAAAAATAAAAAGAGGGAGAAAATATATAGCTTTCTAACAATAATCCAACTTCAGCCTTCACATCTATGTTCAGGGAAAGTCAGGTCCAACCTGGGAGAATTCAGGAAGGGGATTCTAAAGACTTCAATCACTTCGAAAATCTCCGGACCACAGAGGTTCTCATGTTGGCCTGTTTGTGCCATTGATACAAAGGAACTATCCACACAGAGGGACATGCCAGCATTTCTTTGGGTCTTATGTGAGAAGGTGAAGAAGGGGTCTTTCCAGCTATCCAAAACCCAGGACTAATATTTTATTCATTAAAATCATTTAAAAAAATTCCAGAAGCATTATCTAATTTTAAACTGTACATATTTTTAAAACAGCAAATTTTTTAAAAAAATTCTGGAATGATAAAGAAATCATTAGAGGATTTCTATCATTCCCTAAATCACTCCAAAGAGAGAACAGAATAAGAAAACATTTTCTCAATTATTTGTATTTAAATGTGCACTCCCCAAATGACATATGAATGTTTTCCAGTTAAGACTGAAATCAGTCAGAATCTATGGGAGATTTACAAATCCCCCCTCAAAGGCTGAAATACAACTATCATTCAGAAAAATACAGTTGAGAATATTCATATAGTTGGATTACTAACCAAAGGTGAGTCTTCATACACAATTAGTCCATCTTGAACAGAAGGCTGAAGAGTAAGGGTTTGTACTGTGGTGTCCCTAAAGTGAAACCAAAACATTTTATAGTAAGTAAGAAAATACAATGACATGAATAAAAATATAGCACAGGAGGACTTCTTTTTAAGTTTTTGTTCACCATCCCGCTTTTCTCCAAAATGAATAATAACAAATGAAATTCCATTCAGTGACAGTATTTTGTAGGTGCAAATATAAATTACAAGGGTTTGGGAATTCATCCAGGTTTACAGATTATTCATGTTCTTTACTTCTCTTTTTCCTTCTAGGAATTTCCCTTGTGACCACTTCACTCCTCAAAATCACCTTCTGAGGATGAAGAGGAGAGATTAAAAATATATATTTGCATTGAAGAAATAATATTTATATTATTTGGAAAGAATTTTGATGGCGAGTTTGGTGATGACTGATGTGCTCATGTGGCCAATTAAGGCAATTCTGTGAATTACACATTGTGGCCCAAACTGCCATCAGTGTGTGCAAAAGCCAGACTGTCTCACCTCCCTTCCAGAACCATAGATTTTTGAACATTTCTGTTAGGATTAAGGCAATCCTTTTCGTTTTCTTAAATCTCTTTGTTAGTATGTGCCAGACCTTCCTTTAGATCAGGATATATGAATTATTAATAGTGAGCTATGACTTCCTTACATGATGAGATATGAAGTTCATATCACCTAAGAATATTTTTGCCAAAAATGTGTACAGAAGCTGCAGGTGATAAGTCTCAGGTCTAGATATGTTCAAGGGGACCAATTTTATATTTTCATCTTCTACATACACTCCATCTTTAAAATAAAAAATCCTATGGCCATCTTGATGATGTCACACAGTGAATTAAATTACTTTAACAATGTGAGTAGCATCTTTCTTTCTAAGAATTTGAAGTTGTCTTTTCAAACTACCCTATCACTTATTCAAGTAATAAGTAGAGTTATAGTTGTGTTCTTTTGAGTACCTACAATGTGTGAAACTTGGAATGTGAACCTCAGACCTTAATGCTATAATATGCTTCTGAAACTTCTCCCTAAATGCTAACATTTATCACAACCTATTAAAGTTGTAAAATGTATATCTCTTAAAAAAACCCAACAAATACCATATGACAATCACAAATAAAGCAAACTTGAGACATCATTCAAGTGAGTTTTTGCTTTAGCAAAACAAATTTAATCAAAATCAGTAAACTGCCTTGAGAGACAGTGGTGGGGTAGTGGAAAGAAGATTTTGTAGTCCGACCAATCAGGACTGAAATTCTAGTTCTTGTCACTTATTAGCCATCTGATCTTGGGTAAGTAATAAAACCCCCCAGGAGGCTTGGAACACCAGGAAAGTAGCTGGCACAGCGTATGGTGGAGAGAAAGAGTGTAAGTACACGTCAGCTTTGGCTATTTGATGATCTCATTCTTGCTTTTGTTGTGACTAAAAGTTCTTGCCTGTCTAATTTCCACTTGATCTTCAGGTTTTTAGTATAATTGGTGCTTCCTAGCAATCCCCTCCTTGAAAGATCAGGTTAGGTGACCCTATTGTATGTTCCCTTTGAGCCCTGGATCTCCCCTATTCCACCCCTAACACACTGTATTGTAATTACTTTTTATATCTTTTAATATCTTTCTACACAAGACTATAAGATTTAAGACTGTGGACCACATCTATCTGTCCCTCCTCCTGTTCCCAGCATCTAATGGATGTCTGGCTCAGAGGATGTATTTAGTAAATATTCATTGAATAAATGAATGCATGAACAAAATGACAAAAATGCTAAAAGTTAAAAATCAACACTGTAGCTTATAGCATAACATACAGTATGTGGATTTCCAAATTTATTAGATCATGGACCAACCCCCCCTCCTTTGGTAACAGAGAATCTGGAATATAGAACCTGCTTTAGTAAATGTTGCGTTAGATTAAGGCTGACTCTCCTAGATGTAAGGAATCTTTTTTTATTAATTTATAAGTGCGTATTAGAAAGTACAGTCATGTCGAGAAGTACACTTGGGGTTGACTAGTCAAGGGACTACCGAAGATATGGTTTATGTCCATCATGGACTCCAACTGAGTTGAATTTAGACTTACTGTTATGAGTAACTCTTCCATCAGAGTCCTCATTTACCAGGGCTTGAGCAGGTATATTGCAATACAATTATCGACATTTACAATTTCTAGACTACCCAACTTCTTTGCACCTAGCTTGAAAGGTTTCTCCCTCTAATTTGACTAAATGGCAACTGACTTCTTCAGTGAATTCCCTGGAGGTCTGGCCTATTGCTCTTCTTGACCTCTATTCCAAGCTCCCACTCTCAAGATTCTGGCCCTTATGGGTCTGATGTCTGTCCTGTGATCTACTGCTTCCTATAGCCCAAGCACTATACTTTACAAAGAATTCCATATTATGCTTTCATATTGGCTAAAATTCAAATTAACGTGTGTTTGAAATAAAGCCTTGAAGATGTTAAGAAAAGTGAAAACATATTGTGACACTTCATTGGTACTTGTCACCTTTTAGTAGGTATAGAATGTTTCTTTTGCAGTGTAATGATATCTAGTCATATACCCATTTTCCATATTCCTGGGTCTTACAAATGTCCTGTAGGACATACTTTATGCTATCTTTTACCAAAAAGTTAATTTTTAGAGTTTTAAACAAATAAGAACAGTTTAACCAATTTCACTTCAATTCGCTATTAATATTCTAGCAATACAGAAGCGGGGGGTGGGTGAGGAAGAGAAAGAGATGTGTTCACACAGATTTTTATAGCAATATAGTGAATTTCTCACCTCATCTGTCACATATTTAATGGGCAAAAACATGACACCTTCCAGCACCAAAATGGAAAAAGGAACTCATATATCATTGTCAGTGGGAAGGAAATTCAAGCTGAATTCAAATTTTAAAAAGGCAAATATAATTGTTCTATAACACTTGAATTCAGATAGGATACAACATGCCAAATTAGATTTATCAAAAGACTTTTGTGCCAGAAATAAAAACCATAGTTTGATGGAATGTGCACAAATCAGATGATTTCCAAAAAGGACTGCAAATGAGAATGAATACAAATGGAAAGCATGCCTTTCCGTGGAATAGTCTGTGAGAAAGAGGAATTTATAGGAAAAAAGTGGTTTTGTTCTGTTCTTTTTATTGATCCTCCATCCTGTACATCAAAGGAAAAGCAAAGGTTAGTAAAATATGTAAAATAATATGCAACTAGAAAAATTGTTTGGCTTATATGACAGTAAGTTCCACTGGTTATGTAAGAGGGGAAAATAACCTATTGTCTTCTGCATAGTACTTAATACAACAAGAAAAAAGCTTGTTTTTCAAGGTAACTTACAATATTATAAACTTCAACTTAGTTAAGTGATGAGGTAATCATTATTGTCACAAGTAGCATATGAACTTTTTTTTTTTTTCAAGATTTTATTTATTTATTTGACAGAGAGAGACACAGCAAGAGAGGGAACACAAGCAGGGAGAGTGGGAGAGGGAGAAGCAGGTTTCCCGCCGAGGAGGGAGCCTGATGCGGGGCTCGATCCCAGGACCCTGGGACCATGACTTGAGCCAAAGGCAGACGCTTAACGACTGAGCCACCCCAGTGCCCCTGAACTTACTCTTAAAGCCAATATAATGATTCCTTTTCAGAAAAATTGATTAAAATCATTGCTCTGTATTTAGGAGCATCTTGGATCAAAAGATATTAGTTCTCCACACAAATAGGCAATAACCCTAAAAGAATTATTTGCTACAATTTTAATTCTATTATGATTTGTTCCTCTCAAGAACAGCTTTGAAATATAAGCTCATAAAAGTTTAAATAGAGTCAATAATTCCAACAATATTGGGGAGAAGGAAATTTAAAACACACCCAAATCACATTTCCTTAGCCTAAGTTTAATAAAAAGATGGCTTTCCAGTATATAACTGTTATCCATAATGTTTGAATTAATTAGAATTTTCAGCTAATTGCTGACATAAATGTTCTCACCTCTCACTATCTTGCAGACTAAAGCTGTCTATCAATTAACACCTGTGTAGATAAAGGGGTTACTCAAAGAAATACGGTGCTAAACTCTATTCTTCTTTTAACTTTTTTTTTTAAGTTTTTTCTTTTTAAATTAGAGTTATTAATGTTTTGATAGTAATTTAAAATCATTCCAGATGCAATAAAAGTAATTAGGCTGTATAAAGACCAGGTTTTTGACAAAATAAGGAAAAAGAAAATTGTCCTCTGGAAAGCAAGCCCAATCTGTTCTTGAAATGTTGCTTGTAAAGGTATATTAAGCTAGTATCTGCTAATTTACTGAGGAGCAAATGATCTCAAAATAGTGATGTTTATTTTGAAAATGATATTTTAGTATGTTATGTTTAAATTGGTTATGGTTAGCTTTCTTTTAGGAAAACAATAGTAGTTAAACGTAAGAGTGAAGGAAGAAAGAAGACACCTAAGAGTTTCAAATAGCTAACAAAAATCATCTCTAACTTCACAGTTCATTAAATAAAATTGGCTATAGGAAGAGACTACTTGTTAACATAAGCCAAACGTGAGAAAGGAAAGAGAGAATATGGTACATAGGAGGCACTTAACAAATATTTGCCAAATATTTTTAAAAGAGGGATGATCATGAATATAGAAATAAAGAGTAATTTTTGTCAATAAGAGATAAGCATAACATCACTGACTGAAAAGTAAATGATGCTGAAAGATATTTTCAAGTGAAAAAGAGTTCATGGCATCATCAAGAATATCATTTCCATAGGCTTATTTTATTTTATTTTTTTAAGATTTTATTTATTTATTTGATAGAGAGAGACAGCAAGAGAGGGAACACAAGCAGGGGGAGTGGGAGAGGGAGAAGCAGGCTTCCTGCAGAGCAGAGATGGGACTCGATCCCAGGACCCTGGGATCATGACCTGAGCTGAAGGCAGATGCTTGATGACTGAGCCACCCAGGCGCCCCTCCACAGGTTTATGTTAAATAATCAATGAAGGGGTGCCTGGGTGGCTCAGTTGGTTAAGCGGCTGCCTT